TGATTTTATTACTCAGCACACTCTTTGCACACTGCAATTCATAAAGAAAACATCTTTCTGTAAACACATTAATTATTCCCTTGATTTCAATCCTACTATTTTTACTGATAAGGGAAATCAACTAAATTGAATGTAAACATGTAAAAATAAAAATAAAACTTATTGTTTAAATTTCCATTTAAAAATTAAGCATTTAAAAACTCACTCTACTCACATAAAAGTCAATGATAATCTAGACTAGATGCAGTCTATTCTTGCGAGACTTTGAAAAATTTATAAATAATAGACTAGTGAATAGGTCAGTGTACGTGAATTCCCACGGTAATGTACTGAGTCATGGAAATAGACAATCAGTGATGATGCAGAATTCTGTGCAGTCTATGTATTTACGTAGCGATTCACCAGACCTTTCTTGCAGTGGGAAGAGCTGGATTTTAGATTAATAATAACCTCACAGTTAAAAAATATTGAGAGATTCACTCACCTTAATACAAAGTTCAAAATGACTTTCATCATCTTCGCCATGTCTTTCGAACATTGGATTAGAACAGTCGATCAGAAATATGAGACCATCTCTACCTCCCCAAGCAGACTTAAAGAAAGCAAAGAGTAATGAATTACATGTCTGAAAATATGTATTCTTATAACCATAGAATTATGAGTGTACGAAAGTTATGCAATGAAGATCTCGCATGAATAAAAGAAGTAGCGCAATTTACGAGATGATCACAAAATCAGTAGACAAACCTATATGTCTAGCATTTCGTATACAAATTAGTTAGTCTGTGAAAAAATTGATCAGTGATTGTGTTTGAATTGCGCATGTTCGAATATAGCAATGATCTCGTTTATTTCCATCATTTCTGTACCGAACCTTTCCCAGCATCCACTGACTTTTGTGACACAATTGGTTTAACAGAAATATGTTTGATAGACACACACAAAATGGGATCGCTCGCAAATACTTGCAAAAAACAAAAGTTTGTTTTTCATGAGGTCTTCACCACATATCACTATACATGGTTATGAAAGTTACAAACCATTATCTTATAAATCCTTGAAATCACTTAAAATACACCTACCAGAACGTATTGAATCTGCCAGAAGCAAATATTCTATATATATACCCGGTATATATACAGCGAAAAATGGATGATATATGAAAGATCAAATTTTACAAATTACTGATATCAATTTTAACTTACTTCATAAGAAACTTCTGCATCCTCATTATCTTCATCATCATCTGCATCAGCATATCCCCACGACGACCAAGCTGCCATACTGAATTGCTAGCTATAAAACAGTTACAATGTTGATTTCACATGCATTTATAGTATTTTTGTTAATTACACTCACACATATATTGTAATATGTTGTTATCCAAAACGATAAAATATAGCCCTGTTTACATGTCTGTTGTTCGGCCGCTACCCAAGTTGTGTGTTGGGTGTACACAGACATATACACATGGTTAAATAAAATACAAAATAGAAATGCATTGTTTGTTTTTTTCTAGCAACCCACTGCACAGGGCCTTGAAACTCTAAGTATAACGAAAATCATACCCATCACACCCACACCCTGCCTCCCTCACCTCAGACACGCTGGGCTTTTACATTGTCTAGGGTGTTGACACTGGTGCGATAGGGGGGGGGGGGTAAATCTAAACAAACTCGAGGAATCGTGACAAGACGCTGTTAACAAGGGCGTGTAAAATATCGTGCTCAGATCGACTGTGCTGTATTGTATATACCTTGGAATCACGGAGTTTGAACGCCGATAAAAGGCACTGTCTCTAAATATTGGATTATATAACAGGAGACTATATACCCAGTTCAAGTTGAGACGCGAATATACTAGTATGGCCGATCGTGGACGTCACTCATGTTGCTCTATCTGATTGGCTGAATTTGGCGCGTAATTATCATTTCATGACCTTGTGTGAACTCAGAGAGCGAAGGGAAACTCTAATTAATATCACCAACTCAGTGATCTAGTTCTACCGTTGATATAATAACTAATCAAACAAAATGTTTACTAGTGGTAATCCAATAAAATTTTCAAACTACAACTCGTATTTACTCGTAATACTACCTTTTAATCTCCCATCGGCCCTCATTCAAGATGTCTGCGCCCTGTTAGAATTTCGGTCGCTCGAAAACTGTGACACATTTTCGACATAATTTCCTTTGTTGAATAGATCGTGCGTTTGGATACTAACACAGATATTTTGTCATTTGCGTTAACGTGAATTGCAACTCTGTCTACAGCTACTCAGGCCAACCGTGTTATGTGAGTTTACTGCATCGCTCGTGCTGAGTTGATGAGTGTCGTCTGCTTCATTCATTACGTCTGCTTCTTTCTTACTTCCTGTCAATCTTGAACCAAGTGTTTGGCAATGAGGCAAATGCGTGAATATATTTGTGATATATTTTACATTACTCGAATGGCATTCCGACAGTTTTGCGTGTCACCATACCTGCAAGTGCAACTGAAATAAACAGACAGAAAATGAACAGAAGTATTTTTGCAAGGCAGCCAGGTAATAATATTGTTTTCTGTTGGAACGTTTCGCCGTTTGCGATTCGATTATTTACGCATTCGTAATGCGTGCAAAAGTCGATCAAGCGCGACATTAGCTGCAGCAACTGTCGATTTATTTTTTTATTATTTGCAAAGCATTGTAAACTGTGTCGAAGTGCTGTTATTTATGTCACAGTCCCTCTATGTGTTTATGTACATAATCAAAATTCTTTGAAAATCTTCTCAAAATCATTACATGCCTGTACGGCCGAGTTGTAGAGGCTGTAAAAACGGTGCTAGTCTAGTAGATATGCATATCCAAGTCAAAATGGTCATATAGCGGCAAACTAGTAGTAATAAAATTCCTACAACATATGACATTGTACGTCATGATACTCTGTAATGACAACCTATATACAGAAAAGTGTGTTGATTTAAAAAAAAAAAAACGTGATAAAACTTTCTCTTCTTCTTTTCCACAGCACATATTCTTCTTGTGGATTTCTCTCCACCATTTGATATAGACATATGTCACAATTTACACCAGTCTCTGGAGAATTTGTTCTCTCTGGTTTGTAATCTTGGTGGACCATGTCGCACGCCAATCTTTGGTCTCTTTGCTCTGGGAAGTTATCCAGAGGTAAGTATTCAAAGTAGATTTTCCATTATGTAAATTAATTATCTAAACTTTTCTGTTGTTGGAAATATTCATTTACCGGTATATCTTGATCCTACAATGTTGTCAAATAAAACAACTTGAACAAATTTGGATTTTTGGTTCATGAAGTAAGTATCGTTCAATCTGTGTCATGCAGTCCCAAACAAACAATGTGGTTTCCATGGCAACCAGTGCTGATATGTTATGCACAGTTAAAGATTTCATACCAAAAATCTTTAACTTTCACTCACAAATGTAATCTTTTCAGTTTTGCAAAAGATGACATGCTTGTATTTCAAAATGTTTTCAATTAATATGATAACAGAATTAGCATAACTTGTGAATGAAATTTCGGTGAAAACCAACTGGATTTAAAATGGCGGAGTAGTCACCAAGGTCAACAACTACACTTTCTGGGAACATTTGTAATAATATTTTTTACTACATGTATTTGATTTTAAATGCTGTTTTTGATTTTGGAAGTTTAGGTAGGTTTAGGCTCATTGGTTCTATTTATGTGTAAAATAGCTCTGCTTTTCTAGTTTTTACATTGTTGGCTATGGGGAGCTTATAATTGTACCAGGTAGTATGAAACCTACTACACTTATACATGCAATTAAAAAAATTATCAGGAGAGACAGTGACACTCAGATTATGGAAATGTCTTACATGTGTTCCACAAAAATATTCCAAAGAAATGGTTGTACATGTACATTTGATATTTTTAGTAAATTTACTTATTTGTGACAAAATAAAATAAGCTTAAGTAGCATATTTCATTTGTCCATGGTTCAACAGAATTGCCGTTTTTTTTTTGCAGTGCCTTTTCCCACTTCAGCATGTAAGAGGTAATTATCCAAAAGTGTACAGTGCAATTATTGAGTTGAAGAATTATTTGTCAGATGGTACATTGTCAGCTAAAAACTGTAGCTGTGTAACTCAGGGATTACAAGAAGCTCTTGGCCAGTTCAAACGACAAGCCAATACATTCAGACAGGTAGGTCAAAGTTTCAACATAATGAATTATAAAATAAACAGTAAGGAAAGTGAAAATTTTTTTAAATTTTTTTATTTCCCTTCTCGTTTTTGTTTTTCAAGTATTTGTTATTTTCTTTTTTTTGCTCAATTAATAATGCCATTAAATTAATTGCCTAGCAGATGACTGGTTTTAGTAATCAGCTAGAAGTAACTATCATTACCGCACATCAAGCAACTGTTATTTGTCAACAAGTAGAAAAAATGACTAGTAATATAGATCTAGAAAATGTAAAGGTAAGTCCGTAACTGTTTAGATAACCTGAGCTGACAATATGGCAATTATATTTTCACTTGTTAAAAAAGTTATAGAAAATAGCTTGGATTGAGTGACCAGTAAATCTGAGCTAGCAACAACAGAAATAGATCCTGTTACACAATGTACTAGCAAGGGCTATTATATCTTCAGCTGGATTCAGTTTAATTGTTTTGAGTTTGTTATTTATTTGTATATTTCACACAGAAAATTCAAATTGTATCGGTGACTAACCCAGATAAGTTAGTCTTTGCTGAAGATGATTTTGAAAGTACTTGCAGTCAAGGCAGTAAAAGTAGCAGCACTAATACTACATGTTCTACAGATAATGCAGTTCTGCTAACCTGTGGTATAGTAGATGTATTAGACATTGAAAATGGTAAGTAGTTTAGCAACTCTTCAAAAAAATATAAAACTTTGATGGAAACTTATTGGACAGACACGCCAATGGAAATTGTGATAAAAAAAACTGTTAGATGATTGAATATGATATTATTATTTTTGTGAATCTTCAAGCACATTAGGCTGTTTTGTGCTTGTATTATTATTATTATTATTAAAATATGAAACTATGACCCAAAATTAGGAGAAATTTGAATGTTAGTTATTTCACACTATTGCCTTCTTGAGTGGTAGTGTTCCCCGTCTGGTAAAAGGAATCTTTGAACAAAAGATCTTCAATGTTTTTCAATTCTATTAATAATTGTAACAATTTTTGTTGAAGTAGATGAAAAGAACTACAATTGATCATGATGGGCACAAAAATGTTAATACTGAACTGTGAGACCGTAGTTATAATCAAAAATAAGACACGCACATTCTTAGGACATCTTTGAGTACTTGAATGCGCACTCTGAGCTGCCCTCTGAGGCGTGAAGAGTTAAAACTACACTTCTTAAGTGAACACTTGTTGAAAGAAATAAAATTATGTTCCCTTCAAAAAATTGTGTGACCTTTTTTAATGACATACAAAATGTACTGCTGTAAATATTCATTTGTAGATGAGTTAAGTCTGCAGAACTTCTTCAAAAGTTGGCTTCATGACTGTGGTACTGACAGAGAACATCTCCATATATTACTACCTCCAGCCAAGAATACAACCACTGGTAGGTATAGTATCAGTGTGAAAATAATACATTCATTTTCATCTTATTAGTATATTCGCCCAGATTTTTATAATATATGTCTATAATTTATACAAGTGTACTTGTACGAGCATTTCTGAGACTACCATATTTCATCTTCTTTGTAGATGCTGGTCAGCAAAAACAGAACATAATTTTGAAATGTGACTTGCATGAACGGCTCCTCAATCCTTCCCAGCTTCCCTTCCAGGCTCAGTATGTAAGTACCAGGTCTACATCTTTCTAGCAACAATACCCAATTTTCACATTCATGAATTTATTATTACCACAAGAAACTATCACTATTTAAGGCACTCATGAGGAGAATAGTCACTGTGAATCACAATTTTATTTCTTATTAAAAAAAATCTTAACCTCAATATCAAGTATTATGACTGAAGAAATTTATCTCACAAAATTAAGGTGCTTTTCAGTATTTTGATCATCTACATATTATTTCCTAATTTGATGTTTTTATACTTCAAACGCATTACAATCATCATTTTAACTGCCAATATTTAATTAATATTCTAACAAGCAGCCTCTCGGCTGAGATAGCTCCGCTGTTAGCAATGCACATTTCAATTAAAGAACAGAAGATATCATTAGAAAATGAACAATATGCATAGTATCAATGCAATGGGACGTGCTGTTTTCAACAAGAATTCAAAAATATCATTTTTCACCATAAATGATTGTGGTTTTTAACAAGAAGAAAATATCACTTTTTACCAAAAATGACAAAAATATTCACCAAAATTAGAGAATTGAAGATATGATCATGAAATGAACAAATCTGAGAGTGGTCTACCCAAGGTACATATACACTAAGTATCAAAGCATTCAGGCTTGTAGTTTTCAAGAAGAAGTCGAAAAAGTAAAACATTGACACGAACGACGGACAATCACTCATATGATAAGCTCAGCTCGACAAAGTCGACAGCGGAGCTAATTATCTTCAGTATGTATCAGTAGTATGTATTTCTTGCAGTGTTTACAAACAGATGCGGTTAATGCTAAACCAATACTAGCATCAACAGTTAACAAAGGAAACTCTCCTTTGGTGACTATTAACCGATTGAAAGCCAGCAAACTAATAAAAGCAGACAGTGTATGTGAATCAGTGGTAAGTGCATATCAGAAATTCATAGCATTGTAGTTATTTATACATATTTAAAGTAAGCTTCTCATTTATGGATGCATGTACTCAAAACTAAAATTCGCCCAAGTCAAACAGACTATCAGTTCTTGTCCTCGGGCTACCATCATTGAAAATGAGTGCCTCGTCTGTCCTACTATAAATTTACAAAACAAAATTGATTTATCCTAAAAAAAAAAAAAATCTCTGAAATAACAAACTGGTTATCATTCATTAGATAAAGATTTTAAGCTGGTCACTTGTATTCACATCTGTCACTAACTTTAACCACCATATTACGAATGTTGATCCTCCAAAGTTACTATGGGCTATCAGTTTTCAAAATTTACTGCACACAGGCTTTCAAATAAAATGGTAATTTCAATCCATATAAAAATTAATAACATTAGCAGGGATCAACATGATTTCTTCTATCTTTGCATAGAACCAAAAACTTTGTCCTGCTATACATTATGATTACAATTTGTTCATAGTTATATGGTGTGCCATTGATGGTTAGACCTACTGCTTGCTGGAAATTAGACTGGGAAGAACTAGATACTAATCAACAAAATTTTCAGGCATTCTGTCATCTCCTGCAAGAAAAGGCAAGTGTTGCTATATTATCTGGTATTCAAGGATGTACATTGTAGTATGTGGTAAAGTTTTTTTGGTACATGTTAATCAAAATGAACTTTTTATATTTTATAGAATCTATTAGTATATCTGATTATTCTATGAGAATTCCAGAGCTCTATCAAAAATGGAACATGCTTAAAACAGTGGTCAAAATTAGCAACCTGCATTGTTGTGATGACTAAATTTACACATTCCCATATATTAATATATAATTAATAAATCACCCAATCAAGTATGAAATAGTTTTAGATGCTTACATCTACAATTTACTCGATGTCTAAACATTGGTCGCAGAAGATTTCAAAACATTTAAATAATCAATGCAGCAACTCCACTATTCATCTGTCGATATGCAAATTTGTGTATAAATTTGTTTTAATTTTGACATTTAAATGATCAATCAAATGAGTACTACTCAGCAGGCACTCATCAGATCTTTTCACTTTTTCCAGAAATTGTGGATGTTATATATACAAACATAACAGTCATAAAAAAATTTCTGGTGAAATATAAATTATAAATTAAAAGAAAGTTATCTAAAATCGCTGTGACTATTATGTTTTTTATGTATTTTACATTTTTCAATAAGAAAAATTGTGATATTCTTGTGGTTCTCATTTGAATCTTCAAATAAAGGATTTATTTACTTAGCAGACCACATTAATGTTGTATCTAATGTAACATCGATTTTTACTTACTGGTAGTGTGAATTATGAGCTTTAATAAATATATAAGATTGATATGGTTTAAAACAATCCTTTATGAAAATAATTAGTGCGACTTTTACTTTCTGAAAACCTCTGCTACATGCTCAACCAACTGTTGACATGCAGTTCTAGAAGTGGCAAAGTAAAACTGTACATACAATAATCTCTGTAAAAGTTATGCAAAATTGCACATTCTCAACATAAGCTTGGAAGATATAATCTTTAATCAACCACTAGGAGTAGGACATCAGTAGTGGCTTGAATGTTGTCAACTTATATGTGTTGTTGGTAATTGCACAATGGATATAATGGTAATAGTAATGTGTTTTTGTACAAAATATTTATAAATGTTTCATAACTTGACCAATCACAACACATCACACATTGGAATTACCGAATGGATTCTGTAGCCAATAAAAGCATATTCTGTGGATTTGAATGAACTGTAAGGGTTTCTCAGAATAAATGTTTTATAAATATTTCATAAATTTTCATATAAAAACATTCATGCCATGTAATTCAATGTTCAGAATTAAAGGGACAATTATATAATGAGTGCTTGCATTGTTTTTCTTGGCACTGATTGCACTCTGGAAATCAGTGTAATATTTACTCTAAAATACTTTTTTTTTTTTCAGGAATTTTTCCTGTTAGCGGTACTAGATATTGAAGATGCAAGTATCAACAAACATAATCCATTCAATTATCAAGCTGAGCCACCTAAACCATGTGGTTATTTCTTATTGATGCCTTCACAAAGTACAACATTGTTGATTAAATCAATTGCCGTAAACGAGTTAATGCTACCATGCGATTTTCAAATACCCACAGAAAGACCTGTGAGTGATACCATGGAGATGTTATCAGATTCCCTTGGCCAGGTACAGTTAAACTTGTCTGAAACAAATAGACTGAGAAAAAGAGTACATGTATTTGGTGATGATCATTCAAAGAAGTTATTTATGCAAGAAATTCAATTGAGTGATTTAGATAGGATTTTATGGTGCAGAGATGATTGATAGTTGACACACAGCATTTGGTTTTAATACACTGGTACGTTGACACAAAATAAGAATTCCTGGGAATCTATTGGAAGAAGTGAGGTAGAAATTGTTGCACTTGCACAACCTTGTAGTAAAAACACAAGTGTAACTAAGAATTCCATTTTAATCATAAATGCAAGTTTTCAGTTTATGTGTGCTTCAGGATGCGTGTCTAATGAACAGCTATATGATATATACAGTATTGAAAGTATTCAATGTAATTGGACAAAAGCAAAAAGTAAACTGTGCATAACTGAAATTGTCAGAATATCACTTGATTCCTGCAAGTGGTGCCATCCTTAAAAAATAAGACTCCAAATATTTCAAGTAAATTTTTTCTACAATTAGGGATCTTGCACAGTCAGCTGACGTACAAGTGATAATAAAATAAATGCCATTAATTTACCCGTATTTACTATAGGGGAGGGGGGCACCATCTTGAATCTTACATGAATCTAAACACATACACAAGGTGTGAAAGGTGTTTTTCAGATTTCTACAAACAGTTTGGGTAAAATTCAGCCAACCGTTTTTTGCATGGAAGCATCCTTTGCACACAGAACCTAGAAAACTAGATATCAGAAAGCGGAATTATCGTGCAGTTGTAAGGCTGTCGTCGATTGCCTTCTCACTTGGATAATGTGGTATTGAACAAAAGTAATACATCAATGGCTGGTTTACTATTATAATAATAGTTTTATAAAATTAATATACTATTCTATATTTGTATTTACAGTTGGAAGTAGAAGAATCTTTCAATCCATTACTTGTGAAATCTTTCTTGTATAGAAGTCTCAGCAGTTCATTACTGAAGAATTCAACTCCTAGACAGCAGAAAAGGAAAAACTTTTCAAATCACTCCCTGGTGAGGATCATACTGGCATTTTATTGTTTCTCAGAAGTGCTTTTCATGCCCTTTTAATGCCATTCTCAAAACAATTGTCTTTTATATATTTAAAGGGTGGTGGTCATTGCGCAGCACATGTTCAAATTTCATGTAAACAATGCTTTTTACACATTGTATACGTCGCTATGAGTCCCATATCGAACAAAACTCAATGCAACTGAAATCTGCATAATTTTATTCCAAAATTGTTATCAAAATCTGTAGCCAATTCGAAACTACATCAAAAAATACATGTAAATATTCCAAACTAGTAGTCAAGGCAACCATATTATTAGTCAATTATTTTATAAATGACAAAGGCGTCTTTAATAAAAATGTCATATTGAGTACAATTAAAATGATAAATATATATGCTCTTCAATAGAGCAAGTTCAGAGACATTCAAAAATGCGTTTTCAACTAAGTATCAAACACGAGACAATCATCCTGCAATTACATTTTCATTATACAGAATTCCAAAACACAGAATACGTACCATTCTACAAGAGGAAGGGGACAGGGCAGAGGATCAATCAGGTCACAATACCCGCCGGTAACTTGTCAACCAAAATGCCGCCCGGTAGCTCAAGTGCCCAGTCAGCAGAAAAGGTACTGCCCTCCCCCACCACCTACTGCTCAGGATGTCTATACATTTGAAGATTTTCCCAATGAATTGTAGATCATACTTCAAATGAAATCCCAAACTATGTAAATTCAGGTGATGCATATACAGTGAACAATCCACGTTAGAATGTGCGAGAAATGATATGCAGCAAAAGCTTCTGGAACTACCTACACATCCATCAAGCCCTGCATCAAGATTTTCAATATTTGGATTTAAATTTCATTCATAGTTGTCATTTTATTTATTAATATTCATAAACTCATTAAAATACTTTCACAATACATCAATTATTTAATTCTGCAAAAGCACATTTATAATATTAAATGAAAAATTTGTAATGTTTACTAATAAAATGGCTGTTATCAATATTTTTTTTTTTTTTTTGGAGGGTGCAAAGTTCAAAATATTGACCCATTATGTAGTATCTCAGAAATAATTTCAGACACCAAAATATGTGTACCATACAGCAAATATATTATTATCCAAATGGGATCTTATTGACCACATATTATTGCAAGTCAGAGTACCCCTTGGAGATTTGGAAAGTAAGATGCATGCAGGACCTTGACTGATATAAGTTATACTTGGAGGTTTTCTGCATCTCCATCTCAACTAGCAGTGGGGAGCTGTGAAACATTGAAGACCTCTGCCAGTTATACATACCACTGAGCTGTAATGATAACTTAGAACAAGCAGCACAGATAAACTCAAAATTCTAATCAAATTGAAATAAATAAGCTTAGAAAGAACTCCTGTGTGCTGAGAGTATTGGAGATACATTAGTCATTAAAAATTAATTCAAAATTACTTAAACTTGAGATATAGATGAAAATGCAGAAAACTAATTATGCAAATAAGGTAACTAATGTGAACAGATTTAAGTGTAAAACTAATAAGGTCTGCACAATGTACCAAGTTTCATTGAAATGTGATTAAAACCAAAAAAATATCAATTATGCTAATTAGAGAATTAATATGAACAGATTTAACCAAAAATTAATCAGGCTGTCTATTGTCCTTGAGCATTTATGTACCAAGTTTTATTCAAATGTGATGATCAATACTTGAGATATCAGTATTAATTAATTATGTTAATTAGGTGATTAAGAAGCATAAATATTTACCAAAAACTAATATAGTGTATAGTCCTAGGTTCATTGAAATGTGATGGATACTCTTTAAAAGTTTCATTGAAATCCAATGAGTGGTTTTTTAGACATCAGTGCAACAGCCATAGAACAGCAAAAAATTAACTAATTATGCAAATTAGGTAATTAATCAGGTCTCTGCATAGTCCTAGAAGATCTATGTCGCAAGTCTCATTGAAATGTGATGATCAGTACTCGAGTTATCAGGCGAAAAGCTGAAAATTAACTAATTATGCCAATAAGTTAATTAATATGCACAAATATTTACTGAAAAACTAATCAGGTCTCTGCACAGTCCTTAAGTAACTATGTACCAAGTTGCATTGAAACGTGATCATTACTACTTGAAATATCAAAGCTGAAAATTAATTATGCAAATTAGGTAATTAATATGTACTGATATTACCCTAAAAACTATCAGGTCTGTGCAGTGTCATGACATCTATGTACCAAGTTTTATTGAAATGTTATGATTAGTACTTGAGATATCAGTGGAAAAGCTGAAAATTGATTAATCATTATGCAAATTAGGTAATTAATATAAACAGATTTTTACCCAAAACTAATCAAATCTGCGCATTAGTTCAGAGCATCCATGTGCCAAGTTTCATCAAAATCCAATGAATGGTTCTTCAGATATCAGTGGAACAGTCATGGAACAGCTAAGTATCATGCAAATTAGGTAATTAATATTCATAGATTTTTACCCAAAACTAATCAAATCTGCGCACGAGTTCAGAGCATCCATGTGCCAAGTTTCATCAAAATCCAATGAATGGTTCTTCAGATATCAGTGGAACAGCTAAAAATCAGCTAATTATCATGCAAATTAGGTAATTAATATTCATGGATTTTCACTAAAACCTAATCAACTCTGCACATTATCCCAGAGCATCTATGTACCAAGTTTCACCAAAATTTGATTAGTGGTTCTTGAGATAACGGTGGAACAAAAAAGTGACATGCATACATACAGGGTAACTGCAAAGACTCCCATTTGTGCTTCGCACACAGGAGTCAAAAACACTGATATAAATCTTATATAAATTACTGCACTTATACAGTTGCCGTACTTTAATGAAACACCCAACATTGGTTGTCCAAGTGCACATGTGCGTTATACATCTCCTATTGTATAGGATAATGACCTATAGAAATAATACCTGTTCTTGAAAGAAATCCTAGGCGATATTCATGTATATTGGAAAAAATTAGCAGTACAGCAGCTGTGGCTCACAACATGGCATTTTATAAAACCATTTTTTACAATTCATTTTTATTTTATAATTCTTTTTAATAACCATTTTCAGTTCTGAAATTGGTTTTTAAAACCCACTTTCGATTCTGAGATGTTTTTATTTCAAAAACCAATTGTTGAAATTCGTTCTCATTTCCAAAATCTGTTTTCATTTTTAAAACTTA